TTCAAAGAGATCTTAGCACTAGAAGTATTCTAAAATGTGAAGAATACAACCCCGCGGGTACAAAATGATCCCAGGGCGTACGGATAGGGTTAAACCCATACCATTGTTACTATTTTCACCATTTAATAATTTCCCTCTCTAATAAGCACTCACTCCATCTGTTTGTCTCGGATGAAGTCTTTGAGCTGGTCGTGGTGGTGCATTCGACTATTGTCCAGGGCTCGAATCAACGGTGTGTCCACGATATCGGGCGCGATTAGGGCGTATTCGATTCCTTGTTGTGGCAGTGTGGGTTCTTGCTGTGGGTGGGAAGAGAAATATTATGTTATCGATCCAGTGCTGTTGTGGTTATTATCGATCCAGGGAAGATGAATATAAATTAGTTAAGTCATGATAAATTCAATGTTTACAGCGTGTGGCATCATGTTGAAATCAGGCGCTCGTCAAATTAAAGAGACCAAAAAATCTTTTACAAACCGTCATTATATTTAAGCCCGCTGGGTAATTTTCATCGAATTCATTTTTGGTGGTCAAACACATTTTTCATGTCCTTTTAGGAACATATTATTATTCCTGTGTGGATTTTAATTACAAAGGATGAAATGTACAAAACAAAGGTAAATCAGCAGTTCCCAGGGACTCTCAAGCTTTGGGGGTCATCAAACGTTGGCGGCCATTTTCTCGATCAATTCTACTCGGACACCAGGTAAGTAGTAGTACAGGGTTTTACGGCGCTCGCAACTGCACAAGGTCATATGAGCGCGCGGTAAGCCCCATATCGTTTCATCTACACTTCAGTGCAAATAGATGGGCATTTTTCATTTTAAAATATGAAAAATAACAAGCTTTAAGATGATACCACACTTATATATATCGTTGGCAAACTGTTCAAAGGTACTAATCCCAGGAAGCAAAATGTTTCAGGAGAAAGATCTTGACTTGCGTTTCGTAACATTGAGAATTTGAATTTCGGCAAAACATCTCTTGGTCACAAGCAACCGATACCATAGATTAAGCATACGCAATTTTGATTTCTAAAAAAAAGTGGCCTTCGTACATCTGAACTGAAGAGAGGGCCCACGATACATGCCCAAAACTTGACGAGAGCATACTAAAAAGAACCAGTAAACAGGACCCAAAATTGTATTAAAGTGACCGTAAAAACGACTGAAACTAAACTACTTACCGCCAGGCTGGAGGTGTATGCTCGTACTGCGTGCTTGGTGGCGGAGTAGATGGGGGAGGGGAAGTTTGTGGTCAGCCCTGTGGGATCATCATCAATATCATCATCATCATCATCACCATCACCATCATCATCATCATCATCATCATCATCATCATCATCATCATCATCATCATCACCATCACCATCAT